GGTAAGGGCAGTTGCTACCCCTACCGACGGTTGCCTTTTGCCGCCTGTGCAACATAACGGGCCTTTCTATACTTAGGGCAATAGTTAATAATGTGCCCAGGATCACCGCAATAAATACACTGATCCTGGTCTATTCTCCTCTGCCACACCGACTGTTCGAGACCCAGATCTACCCAGGGCTTGCCTTGCGCCCAACCAGGGTGCCATCCACCCCTCCTGGGAGGTGACCGATTGTAACGACAACGGTTTTGCGGGGGACTTTGACCCCTGCCTCCCTCTTGACGGTTTCCTTTGCCGCCAACCCCCTGATCACCCTGCCCTCGGCCACCAGAGGCTCGACCCCCTTGGCCCTGGCCTCCTCCTCTTCCTTGCCGCCTCCCTCCAACCGCGACATCAGCATAGGTCCTCCCCTGACTTACGCTACTGTCCTCTCCCTCGAGGCCCCACTCAATCTGACTATACGGGACCTCCTCCATACCACCCTCATCTAAAGTAAGGATCAAGTGATCCTTGGCCTTAACCTGTCCCGAGATGGTACGTCCTTTCCAGTCGTTACCCTTATCTAGGTCCTTATGCCAGAAAGTGGAAGCTGGCATAGACTGAGCCTCAAAAGCTACCACTTGCCTACTCAATGTATCGTAGGTGATGGTAGACTCTCTACTCCTTTCAAAAAAATGCCCTCGTAAAGACCCAGGCATAGCACGGTAGAATAGCTGGACCAATTGGGTCTTTGTGACCCCATGTCGTGGTATGGCGGATAACTCATCCATAACTCCTTTGAGTGCTCTTGCACTCCTCCATTGCCGTGAGTGAATAGTCTGCAGTTTATCTGAGGCCTTAATCCCCCTAGTGACATTTGTGAATTGTTCACGAAGCAACCTGAAAAACTCACTTAGGGGGGTGATGATGGGGTATGCCACCATGTCATTTTCACACTTGGCGGCCCTGACAAGCGATCGAGCGAAGCTAGACGCTTCGTCCTTAAAAGCATTGAAAGCGATGAGGACTTGCTCCTCAGGGAGGATCTTCTGGAGGTGAACATAGGAGTTAACGTTCGCTTCCCAATTGTCAAAGTTCTCTTCCCTCTTCCCGCTGTAGGAATCAGGAAATTTGACCTTGACTGATTCCCTACGTGGGCGGGCTTCCTCCTCTTTGGGAGTTGCTAACTTAACTCCCTCAATCGCGCCTTGTAAAATCTCTCCATGCTGGTTAGTCGGGCTTGCATCTCAGTGCCCATCTGCATCATCATATTGTGCGCGAAGTCTTTAAAGCCTGCGCGAATGGACTGTAGAGCTATATCATGGCCCCTCAGGAAGTTCATCTGCTCCTGTTGGGCCCTCATCATTACTTCGATGCTCTTGCCCATGATCTCCATTGTATTTTGGAGATCTGCTTGCTCAGCTAAGCGTGCGTGTTGTTCCCTTGCGCCCGCCAACTCTTGTTCTAACGCTGTTGCCACCTCTATGCGCTTCCTCCTCTGCCTTCTTAGGTGCAATTTCCACTCCATCCTTTTCTCCTTCACCAGGGCCTGACGCTGCAAAGGATCCTGAACTGCCTGGATCTCAGCCATTGCCGCATCTCTCTCATCCTGAGGAATATACATCACGGCCTCTTCATCTTCTCCCAGGGATAGATTTGATACCCACTCACTCACCATCTTCTCCAATTTCTTCTCCTCTTTTGTTGTGCTACTTGACTCTCCTTCACCTGTCCTCCTAACATTTATCTGCAAGGGAATCTCTTCTTCTTCTTCTTCTTCTTCCTTCAACTTTTCTTCCTCCTCTTTCTTTAATCTCTCCATCTCCTCCTCCAACTTCTTCTTCTTTGTCGCCTGCTCCTCCAACAAGGCTTGCTTCTTTGCCTGCTTTAATATCTCTTTCTTCTCCCTTCTCTCTATCAGCACGGCGGCGGCTTGCTCCTCCTGCTCTTTCGTATACGGGGTGGTGCTCGTTCCACTACGCGTGTCAACCATGGTGACAGGTGCATAACCGAATGACAGTTTCGCTCCTCACCACTTAGACTTCCACCCCCCGACTGACTAACTCTCTAAGGACCACAAAACCTTACCCTTTGTTCCAGCCAGGTTACCATGGCCGACGGAAGACTGTCCTTTACACTCTAGACCCAGATGCCCTGCACCTGTGGTCAATCCCACCTGGCTTTCACTCCGGTTCAGGACCCTGTCAACTAGGGTCTCTAGCCTAGACCTATTACTAAGCTGTCACTACAGGACTTCAGCGTTGATCAGGAGGCATTTAAGGAGATCCCCCATAACTCCTCAGGAATTGTTTAACGTCGCAAACAGGACGATGCGATCAGCAAGTCTTCTCAATACTTAGACAGCTGGTTGTGCAACCCACTACTCGGATTTTGGGCCTGCCATGCCACACTGAGCAACCCGCCGATCTGTACCGATCCTTGAGAGGGTTTGTCCTCTAATTTAGTCAGTCGTCAGACATGAACTTAAGCCCTATTCAGCCCCTAAGGGTTTGGTCAACACAACTCTACGACCTCGTAAACAGAGTTCCTAACACCTGGACAGAAGAGACTTAATGCAGAAAGAAGAGACAAACAGACTTAGCAAGTACAATGGGGTGAGTGCACATCCATAGGGTGAGGGGATAGGCTGAAGGCTTGGCGAGAATATACCAACTCCAGCTTGGTCAATTTCATGGTCAACAGCTCCGGTCAACGCCTTGGTCAACGCTTGGTCAACATCGGTCAACCCCTCAGTCAAATCCCTGGTCAACGACTTGGTCAACACCTTGGTCAACGCCCAGGTCAACCTTGGTTAACGCCTTGGTCAACGCCCAGGTCAACTCTCAACTCGGCTGTGGCTGTCGACCCTTCCTCTTCCACCAACCTTCAATTCTCTCCTTTCTCCCTCCTTCCTTCTTCCTCGCTTCTTTCTTCCTTCACCCTGGCTATGTCCTCCTTTTTCTTCGTCGTCCCTCCTTCCTCTTCCTCGGCTATGGCTTCTCTCCCCTTCTTCGTCTCTCCCTCCTCTACTCGTCTTCTTTCTTCTTCCTCCGTGTCCGAGCTCAGCGGCTATAGCTTCCACCTTCTTCCTTGGACTGCACAACAATCTTCTATCGCTCCTCTCTCTCTCTCTCTCTCTCTCTCTCTCTCTCTCTCTCTCTCTCTCTCTCTCTCTCTCTCTCTCTCTCTCTC